ACGCACATGCAACAGCACACACTTGGTGGGTTAGCCAGAGGGTCAGGAGTCAAAGGTCAAACCGTCATGCTGTGACACATCCTAGATCTGATTACCCTCCTCCCTCTGTCAGTTTCTACTGTTTACAGGCGAGTCCATGTGGAAGGTTCACCCTCATATTTACTACTCGTGTGTGTGTGTGAATGAGTGTTTGTCTCTGTTTTGTCAGCGCTGCCCTGCCCACTGGAGGGGCCCTGTAATCATGCCTAGACCCGTCCGCCGCACAGGACTGCAGGAAGCCCAGAACAGGCACCACGATCGCTGTCGTCCCGTCCAATTAGAGGCCATGTCCAGATGCCGTCGGTACTGGAAGTCAAAGCTTTAGTGCCTACTTGCCACCGAGCTGGAGCTCCACCCGAGTGTCAAAAGCTTTACGTTTCACATCCGTGTCTGTCGGAAAAAAAAAGTTGTTATGCAACTCCAGAGCGGTCTGTAGTTAGTGTTTGGCCAGCGACACATTTGTGTCATCAAGGCTCTACTCCAGCACACTGGGCTTGAAACAGTCGGGATGAGGTTAAAGTGGTAACTTATAAAGGGCACCTCCACCCATTTTGCACATCAAAGTATGTTTACAGATCTCGGGGGGGTACTACTCTATACAAGTCTTTATGAATATATACAAATCAAGATTCAGTTACTGTGTTGCCTTTTTCTCGTCTGACATGTTTTCAGAAAAATATTTGAGTGTTCTGTTGAGATGTAGAGTTAGAATGTCTGTGACCCGGCTGTCATGTTGAAAACAGTCGAGCCAAAAACCAACCACCGCCCACCGACGGTAATCTTGTGAATACCGATAGCAGCGTTTCTCTTTGTTTATACTTCTGCAGACGGCGCGTGAGTTCCGAGGATGCGTTAATGCTCAATGCCCTGTTCATTGCATTACTCTCCGACACAACAGAGGGCGTACAAACAACATGAACTGTGAAGAATAATACAAAATAAACTAGTGTAACCGGCCTCCACTATGCCGAGAAGGGATTGTAATTATCTGTAAACTCATAGCTCATATTCATGGACTACTTTATTGCCTTTGTACAATCACTGTAAAGAAAGTGGTCAAGTGTTTTAGGTCTTTATTCACAGATTATCTGTCTCATCTACAACTGGCAGGATATAGTGACAGTCTGAGCAAATATAACAAAGTTATTGTTAATATTAGTCACCAACTGTAGCTATAAAGACTGCAAGTTTTAAAGTGATCAAAATCTGGACCTCATCTCTGCCTGAGGCCAGTGTCTTGAAAGCCACATTGGCTGTTTACTAGCATAACACACCCAAATCTCGGCAGTTGAGTTGCATCGTGGGTAATGTAGGTGCCAAAGGTTCCGAGGTCGTGGGCCCAACCATACACAAAATAGTTGTACGCTGTGTATTAGGAGGTCTGGAGGACCGAGGTCATTTGTACTGTCGCCTCCACACCGGGCAAATCGGTCAAGTTGTGGGAAATATTGCTCTTCTTAATTTTGTAGGGATCACATCCAATATGTGTTTCTGCTGCGTGCAGGTTCAACCAACCATTTTATGTGTTCACTTTCCTCCATTTCCAATTCGCTCAGTATATAGGTTCTTCACTTCCTGCCCTCCATCTGAATTACATCATAATAGTCACGTGATTACAAACAATCTATTGCATGTTTTGGGGGTCTTTGTGCCTTCAGTTGGGACATCAGCAAGGGAAACACATGCTTAGATATACTGAGGTCAGGTGGCTGACCAAAAACCTTCTATTATCTTTATACTTGATCTACAGGATGAATGGGGGACTGTTTATAAAAAAGCACTATAATTCCATAAACTGTTCACTTAATATAACACCCTTAAACACAGTACCACCAGCAAAGACTCTTGTACTAAGGGGAGGGTGGTAGACCGCGATTACACATACCACATCCAACCGGTAAAGCCAAGTCAGCAGCAACATCTCACGGGAAATGATTCATAAGTTGTTAGTGTAGACAGACACCCCTTCATACAAATACTTTCTCGCTGTTCCCAGGTATGCAGACTTGTCGCAGCAGGATTCAGGGAACCAAGCTGCACGCCCTGTCATTTTTAATCCCAGAATGCAACGTTTTTATTGCTATTTTTCAGGACCGAAAGACTTCTGACATGACATCTCTCTTGTAGTCGACGCTAAAACCATTACAGTACACACATCTGGTTTCAGGTCAAAATTATACAGCTGCTCTTCATATGGTTTACCTTTTTACCACAAGTCTGTGTAACAGCTAGTGTTGCCAGACAAACCAGATGTGTCTATTGTATCCGTAAACAGTATTGGCTCAGTATAAGACCGTTGCTTTGGCAGATCAAGTGTTCTTCGGTATGTGGGATGAACGAACCAGCTGTGAGCAAAATGTGAGAGACTCTCAGAAAGCCTCGGCAGCAAAGTTCTGTGGGGTCTCTGGAAAATCTTCAATCTTTAATAATCTTTTAAAATCTTACCATGTCCAGCAGTATTCATTATTCATACTGCAAAACATTTATTAACAAATATACAGCAAAATAGCCTTGTGGTGTGTCCTCTCTGGATCGGGTGTTCGATCCCAGACTCCTCCACTCCACATGTCCTTGTGTCCTTGGGCAAGACGCTGAACCTGAGTGCGTGTGAATGGGTGAATGTTGACATGTAGTGTAAAGCGTACGTGTGTAGTGTAGTGGTCAAAAGACTATGAAGGTGCTGTATACATGCAAATCCAGTTACCATTATATTGCCTTCGAATACACGGTTGTTTCTGTTGCAAATGGTCCGTAGTGCAAATGTGTAGTTTAGTCTTTTTTAACAACCTAAAAAGGAGTGGATTTATTTTCTCTGCTTCGACATCATGGTTCCACTCTATTAAAATAATCTGTATGCATGAAGTCGGCGAAATATGTCAACGAGAGAGCAAAGTTCATTGCATCTACTGTATGAAGTCTTGTTTCTATTGTGAGAGAAAGAGTACGTATGTACAAACAGTCTCATGGCAGTTTGTGAAATAGTCATGAAATACAATCTATTGTTTTTATGTACAAGGGACACAAATGTTTTTTTTCGTGTTGCTCGGAACAGGTTTAGGAAAACGGTCACAGACGTTAGGCTTAGGCAACAAAACAAACGTTAGGCTTAGGCAACAAAATGA